TACTTGTTTTAACAGCCTTTTTCCTCTTGCTTAATCCTCTCAGCTTCCCTAACCAGCCTTTTTATTTCTTGTTTGCAGTTCCTCTCTCTCGGGGACCTGGCATTTCACTTTATGATAACTGTTTTTACACTTTCCATTTTGGCTCTGTAGTCTGCCCCTCATTCTGTGTCTGGTGAATGTGTACGCCTCGTTTTTCACTTCGCCCATCTTTCAATGTGGGTCTCTCCTGAATTTGCACTGTCAGTATCTGTGTTAGAGTAAATATCTGGGGGATGTAGTTCCTGAGCTTTCATAATTAAAAAAATTAATTTTATCTCCCTTTTTTGTATTTTATAGTGTTGAAACTATACCCATGAAAAAGTAAGCCTTTTTTAAAAAAACTATATTCTTAGATGGGATGGGGGAGGTTTATATTATTATGTAATGGACCTTAAACATTAAGTTATTGGCATCTTAAAATTACGTAGAAACAGCAGATCTGTCCAGGCAAAAATAAATTGCAATGCCTCTTCAAAAGAGGGCTGGCACAGGGAAGGTGCTCAAGAAATACTTCATGAATTAATGAAAGTTTTATATGCTAAGTTTATTAATCTATAAAGTAGTCATTTGGTCTTTGAAATTTAAAAGGAGCAAAATGTAAACTACTCATTTGTCTTGTTTTTAGATTTAACAAATTGTTACATACTTTTCGTGACCATTACATTGTCTTTGTAATCCATGATGTAAATACTTCATCTGAGAGATAACATGGTGTTTTGGTGTATTTATTTTTGTTACAGTATGGAAAATGGTAATAATGGTTATCATAAAGATCATTTATATGGTATTCACAATCCTGTTATGACAAGGTAAAGCAAAGTCTGGAAGTGCATGCCTGTTCTGTGATAAACCATCTCATCTCCTATATATCAGCACTGAATTTTCTGCATGCTGTTGATGCCTTCACTTCTCTGTGTGTGATACTTTATCAATGGTAGTCTCCAATCATGCTCTACATAGTGTTCTATGATGCCATGAGTTTAAATGTTCAGTAGATTTCTAAACAACGGAATTATTCAGCAACTAAAATTTGGTGTCATCTTAAAATGCTATGTATGGTTGTAGATCATTACAGATTAAATGCATGCATACCTTGCATTTAGAATTTCTCTGCACCAAATAAACTGAGTAGTTACAGTTTTCAAAGCCCCTTCCTTCCTTCCTTCCTTCCTTCCTTCCTTCCTTCCTTCCTTCCTTCTTTCCTTCCTTCCTTCCTTCCTTTTTTCCCTTCCAATAAATTAACTGTAACCGACCAGAAAAAGAACCTCAATTCTTCCTCCAAAATCTTTATGAATTTACGTTCTCTAGAAGTAAGGAGCTTCCCTGGTTCTGGATATGTTATATATCAGGTAACTCTGAACTTTGCTTGCCAGAGGTCAGTCCTCTTCTGAGGCTCTACTAAGAATTCAGAGCCACACGTCAGCCAGGGACCTATCTGCTCAGAAGAGGTGGAGCCATAGTGTGCAGGGCAGCAGGGCCACAGTGGGCTGTCCTCTTCAGTGGGCGTGGTCCTTCCCATGCCCATGCAGCTGGCCCCCTAGTGCTCCCCCGAGCCCTGCTCTGCACAGTGATGTCTCAGATGCAAAAACGTGAGTCTAGCGGTGCATGGGGGGGGATCCACCTTAGAAGGCTCACGCTCCACATGGGAGGCGTCCAGTTAAAAGTGCCCACATTCAGGGAAGCCCACAGCTTTGGCTTCACACCAGGTATTTCTATTTAGAGCCTCCCAGGCCAGAAGCTGCTCATCAGTCAGGCACATCCTTATCTTAAGCAATATTACCTAATAACAGTTGATGCTGCACCTTGGTCAGATTTCAAGGTGAACAGAACCAGAAAGTCATAAAATTTGTCCTTTCAGAAGGATAAGTGGCTTCCTGGACTTAAAACTTGGAACATTGTAAAAAATTCAGAACTTTTCATTATAATTTTCCATTTAGGGGAAGAGAAGTTGCCTGAGTGCATTCCAGCTGCTATAACGAAATGCCTTAAACTAGGTAGCTTGTAAACACCAGGGTTTATTTCTCACAGTTCTGGAGGCAGGGAAAACAAGACAAAGGTGCCGTCAGATTCGGTGTCCGGTGAAGGACCACTTTCTCATAGGTGGCGTCGTCTTGCCAAATCCTCACATGGCAGAAAGGGCAGGCTGGCTCCTTGGAGTCTCTTTTCTAAAGGCGTTAATGAGAAACTAATGAGGGCCCTGCCTTCATGACCTAAAGCATCACTGTGATTATGATTTCAATGTATGAATTTTAGGAGTGCACATTCAGCTGAGAGCAGAAATGGTGATAATAACAAAAATAAAGTTCTCGGTCAGGCACGGTGGCTCACGCCTGTAATCCCAGCACACTGGGAGGCCAAGGCGGGTGGATCACGAGGTCAGGAGATCAAGACCATCCTGGCTAACGCGGTGAAACTTTGTCTCCACTAAAAACACAAAAAAGTAGCCAGATGTGGTGGCACACGCCTGTAGTCCCTGCTACTCGGGAGGCTGAGGCAGGAGAATCGCTTGAACCCGGGAGGCAGAGATTGCAGTGAGCCGAGATCATGCCACTGCACTCCAGCCCGGGTGACAGAGGGAGACTCCGTCTCTAAATAAATACAGTTCTGAAATGGCAAATTGACTTCATCTCATCTGATATTTCCAGTACGCAAGGCTTGGTGGCTAGAGTGCTGTATTGTGACAGAGTTGAAGATAGAGTTAAGTATCAATCAGCCAGGTAGGCTCTGGGGATAGCAGACAGCACAGCTGCCTGCATAATGTCCTGGCCTTCTTTTTCGTGGTGTAGCATGCTTGGAGGGTATCTTATATATATGGACAGAGATTTTCAAGATCAGAGGTTAGCTGTTCTCAATTACCTCGGTTGCCCTAACATTGGATCTTCTAGGACTACTCTGAATTTGTAGAATTGCTTCCTGGTGCTTGCCTGTTGGTTGTGAAGGCACTGAAAGTACTCTCTGTTCTAAGAAGAGTCATCCAGGCTGCATGGAAGATGCTAGAGAGAGAGACGCAAGCCTGGGTGGAGGTTGCCACAGGCAGATTTTCTGGAAGCAGTGCTGAAAAGGAGTTTGGAGTGCAGGATGTTTATGAGGATCCATGGTTGTGAAAGAAAGGGGGAGAAGTTGAGGTTGGCCTGCCAAAGCCTTGGCCCGGCTGGTCAGGAGCTCTGGATCAAGTATGGCCTGTAGGGAGTTGCCCACATTGGGCTCAGCTAAGCCTTTGCACCCCATCTTCCCCCAGAGCGGTAGGCTCTGACAACTGGAGGTTCTCTGCTGGCCATGCTGCCCCCAGCTGGAGGCAAGTCATTCTTAAAAGGGAATCTAGAAGGCACAACTCCATGGCTCCCTGAGAGGCACATGCACGGGTGGGCCTGGAACAATGTGCTGCATCCAAGAAATCCTCCCACAATTGAAAGGGAGGTGTCAGTGTGCAAGCTGGCAAGACAGCCTTTGAGATGCCAGGGTCCTCTCCGCACACCAGTACTGCCACAGACCTTTGTCACTAAGGCATGATCATCACAGCCAACCGGACTCTGGCTAATTCCCAGCTTCAGATCTGAGTGCTGGAAATAGGCAGGCGTCAGCTGTCTTCTGCCTTATGCCACCACGTGAGCCCTTGCCCACAAAGGAGGGTAGATTTCCAGTTCTAGCATCAATAAGAGAATAACCGAGCACCTATTTAGTGCCACAGGTGTCCTGTGTATAGTGTCAAAGACTTAATTGTCTAGGCTCAAGAAGCTTGTTGTGGCTCTCCTTATTTACTAGTTTTTACCCACATTGCTGGAACAGCGTAAGATTTGCTAACTCTTGGATTTAACTTGCTGCACAAGAAAAAAGACATGATAATGATGGAAAATAGGAAAATGTTAGAAAACAGCCCTAGTCGGTGTTGAGAAATGCCACTCTTCTCACTTGCTAATGAACATTTCATCTTGGGCTGTTAACGTTGACATTCAAACTAGATTAAATGCCTTCGTTCTGTTAAATACATAAATGAAGCTTTAGGATGATTCTGTGGTCATTCTTACTACAACAGACATTGGAAGGACTTGTCCTTGTGAAGGGCCTAGCACTTCACACATCTGTGAAGCCTGGGACTAGGGATATACCAATGTTGGGTGACCTTCCTTAACGGTCCACAGTACATTTGAATTTTTTTCTACTTTCTATATTCTGTGTTCTACAGTAGAGCTCTAAGGGCAGGTTGAAGTGTTTTGTTTCAATAAGAGAAAAATCCCAAAGACTGACACCGTATGTGAGTTTCGCTGAAGCACCTTTCATGGTAACAATTAAATTGAGGCTTGTTTTCCTTCCTGCACACCCACCTCCAGTGGGAGCCCTGGCAAGTCTCCTGGATGTTCAGCCCGTCTACAGGCAGTCAGTGAAGAATCATAGTTTTGATTTGGTTTATTTGCAGAAGGTTAGGAAATGACAGCCCAGAAACTCTAGGGACATTGGGACACCTTTCTTTTCCACCCAGACCCTCCTAGAGGTCCCCGGGGTCTGAGTTGGAGTGGATCCTTGCTCTGCCTCCATGTGTCATTATGGAAGTGCTATTTAATGTCCTTGAGCCTCAGTTTTCTCACTTGTAAAAGGGGGGAATAATAAGAGCTTTGAGCCTGGGTGCCGTGGCTCACGGCTGTAATCCCAGCATTTTGGGAAGCCAAGGCCGGCAAATCACAAGGTCAGGAGTTCAAGACCACACTGGCCAACATGGTGAAACCCCATCTCTACTAAAAATACAAAAAATTAGCCAGGCGTAGTGGCAGGCACCTGTAATCCCAGCTACTCGGGAGGCTAAGGCAAGAGAATCACTTGAACCCGGGAGGCAGAGGTTTCAGTGAGCTGAGATCGCACCACTGCATTCCATCCCGGGCGACAGAGTGAGACTCTGTCTCAATAAATAAATAAATAAAAATAAGAGGCTTGTTTGCATAGGGTTGTGAGGGTTCAGTGAGGTAACCAGGCAAAATATTCACCCTTTGACCACTGTGAGCCCTTATTTAAGGGTTTGCGGTTCACTATAAAAACCGTAATCTTTTCTTATTACCCTGGCATTTCCAATGGAGGGAACCCAAAGGTGATTCAGAAGATAACTAAGTGTGGCTCTAATCTGTTAGCTGAGCCAGCTCCACTTAGCCTCCATCGATGACACCAACTGGGTTATGGATATTAGCAGACACCTCGTGACACCGTCGTACAAATGAACCCAAATTGATGCCTCCTTCACATGGCTTGAGACTGTGATTTTCCCCCAGTGTTTATCGCCAACAGTTTTCAGGTGTTGCCTGCATTTCAGGACAAAGCTAGGTTTAAGAGGCAAATGATCAGTGTACAGAGAAGGTGCTTGGCTATTTTAGAAAAGCCTTCTGGCCGGGCGCGGTGGCTCACGCTTTTAATCCCAGCACTTTGGGAGGCTGAGGAGGGAGGATCACTTGAGCCCAGGAGTTCAAAACCAGCCTGGGCAACATAGCAACACCCTGTCTCTATAAATGAAAAAAAAAAATTCTTTTTAACGTAAGAATGAAAGAAAAGCCTTCTGCAAACCAGGACGTTAGTACTTACCAAGTGTGGAGCAGTTTGATAACTAATATTGCTTCATGGAGTGTTTCCCAGGAGAATTCTCTTAAGTAAGAACCATAAAGTGGGGTGCTTCTGAGGGGCAAACTCAGTTTCATGGACTAGTTTTTTTTTTGTTCCCCTTTTCTTTTATCTTTGTTATTTCTTAAACACTCACACACATGTATACACACACATACTGTAATTAGTCCATTATACATACAGTCTGTGGTTATTTGCTTTTGATTGAAGGAAAAGTTAATAGAGTTTCATATAAACCTACGTAAGCCTGGATTTTCTTTCCAACGATGCTTCTGTCTGCCACACAAAGTCTCCAGAGCAAGTGGAGGCATTTTAATTTCAGGAAATAATGAGTGACTCGTTTCCAAACCTTCTTCCTAGCCTTTCGTGGATCACTAGAGGTCACTCAGATTGTGATCTGTCTCCTGCTAGGGAGTTCTTTAGAGAGAGAGAGAAAAGAGAGAGAGAGTGTGTGTGTGTATGTGTGTGTGTGTGTAAACTTCCTCTGTCTAGCTCTGACTTCAGAGATCAAGAGAGAAAGTTGCTCCATGTGAGGCCACAAAGGCTTGAGAACAACCGAACACCAGTGTTGGTCCGGTAGCCCCAGGAACCGGGCAGGATGGCCACCCTGCCTCATCCTGCACAGTCCTCACATTGGCCCTTTATGGCTATCATCACCTCCCTGTTGTCTGTCTTTTGCAGATAGACTCAGGGACATGTAGGCCGTGCCCAGGTCTCCACAGCTAGCCAGGGCCAAGCTAAGATTTGAGCTATTTCTCCTATTCTCCCAAAGGCAGGTGGGCAAAGAAAAATTCCCAAAACAGGTGGAAAGACCACAGAATAATTTGATTATTTTTCCCAGTCTTCACTCTGAAGACTACCAAATTGGCAGAAAGAGGAACAAATAAGAGGCAAATGTTGCTAGAAACTCTAGTTTATCTGAAAAGGAGAGAAATCAGATTTTAATATGAAATTACCCTTTTTAATGTTAGCAAACAATGTTGAGGAAAAAAATACCATGGGGGCCCAACAAAATATGTCTGTGAACCACCTTCTTGCTAGTTCTGCTGCAGATGGTGTTCATTGTGAGTGCTGTTGTAGATTCTTTGTTGTTGTTGTTGTTG